TTCTCAGATACTGTCAAAGTATAACGCTTAGAGTTTTTTGAAAATGTTCAGTCTGGGATAGACAAATCAGATTTTCAAAGATAACTGAAATTGTTAAAGTTTGTCAACATTACACAAAACTGAAAGGAGGGAGTGAAACATTGGACAATCTTAAAAAAAGTTCAGTGCTATTAGGTCCATCTGTACCTTGACCACAATGAACATTTCTCTTTATTTTACATGCTTCTTTCCATGAGCCTGGCTTTAACTTACTTCAAAATGGATTAATCTTTGCATATGCTAGTGGCTTGTGTCAGAATAGATTTATTACACACTTATCTTTTCTGAATATTTAAGATTTACGTCATCCTGTTGATGACATTTTTCCATCAGGCTGTAAACCAGTCAGACCAAGCATTAAGCCACTCAGCTGGCAGTTTCACATAGGATGAGTCACTATCGCTCTGTATCCGCAGGCTGTGCTGGGTTGTGAGGAGGAAATAACTCCTGAGAAGGAACTGTCTTCGTGTCATGCGGTCCGAAATACGATGAGCTGCTAATGTACTAGTCCAGGATATTATTTTGTTTCAAAGATGAATCTACTATGGTTAGCACTGAAGGTAAGATTGTTATTCTGCCCAAATCACCGTGTTCTTTCTGTAATGAGCAGCAATAGCACCAGCAGCAATGAGGTTTTGGTGATAGCTGAGAGGATGATTTTAAAAGGGAAACATAGCTAGGGGGGCAAAACACTTTTCGGGCACAGATATGAATTCAGAGTAAGTCTCTTTACTTTCTGTGAAGTTATTTGAGGGCCATGAGGACAGAATAGAATCATACCTGTTTGTTGCTTACCTCCTCCCTCCTCTGTGTTTGCCTTCTTGTTGGAGGTGATGTTCAGAGGTTGAAAAATATTGACAAAGCAGTCAAAGTCCTAAATTCATTCCTGCTAGATTTTGGCTGCACAGAAGCACTGGAGAGGCATAAGAGACCTGCCCTGCTGTACATGTGCCTCTGCTCGGGACCCACAGAGCAGCTGGGGCAATTCACCTGCCCTGCCCTGACAAGAAGCAAGAGGCTTCTTGCTGTCGTGAGCCCTGGTGCTGCTCTCTGGCAGAGCAGTTTCGCTACTGAGTGAAGGCAATGAACTACCCTACGGCATTGCTTAGCAGGGCTACCAAATCTGCACCCCGTGCAAAGACAGTTTCTTGGCTTCATATGGATGTGTTTGCTTTGCTGTTATAACATTATTTTCTTGGAATCTCTTTTCCTCTGTTCATGTCAGAGGTTTGTATTTGTGTTGGGGTTGGGATTTATAGTTCTCATCCTAAGCATTACACTTCGAGAAAGAGCACAAACATTACATCACTCTGTATAAACAGCTATTTTTATTTGGCGGGGAAAAGTGGTGGTTTCCACTGAAGACTAAGTACAGAAACTGTGGGAAAAGATCTAGAGGTCAGTCATCTCATCTACTCTCCTTCAAATTCCTCTGGTATAAATCTGGGCTAATTTCAGACTGTCTTCAGTGGAATTGCACAAGGTTTACAGAAATAGCATTCAAATTAGTAGTTGTCACATCTTTTTTAACACTTATAATGAAATAATTATTTTGAACTAACAGTTTATTGTGAATTTGTGACTTTCCCTTAAATTTCAAGCATAGGAATGGAAACTTAGGAAAAGAAACAGTTTTTTAAAATGAACCATATGGAAATGGGAAATGTTCCTCTGTCTAATGGATACTGTAAAATTATGTTTTTCTGCCAAATGACCAAACTGTGCCCCCAGAAATGCAACCTAAAATAATTACAGTAGAAATCATTGCTGTCCTGCCTTTTTTTTTTTTTTTTAATGGTAACAATTCACATTTCCAATCCCTTTTCTGTTCCTTGCCATTTTCACTGTCCCTTCCACAGTCTTGCATGAAAAGGATAGAATGATTTTTCAACACACTTTTCAAATGGGTTTGGTGCCTGGCAAAAGTGCTGTTTTCATTTCCTTCTGTACTGCTTTCCATTTTAATTATTTTATGTTTTAAAAACAAACAAGAAAAGTTGAGGATCTAAGGTATTCTAGACAACATGACAATATCTTTTTTTGTTGTTTTTCCAAAAACCTGAAAACTACTTATTGCAGAAATACAAATTTTTCAGAATGGAAAGCCACAGCAACAATTTTGTAGAAATGTTTTTACTTTGAATTTTGATGCTTCTTTATTATATGACAGGCTCAAAAGACTGTTTAACACTGACTATTTTTAAGTGATTTGAGATCTCACAAAAATAGAGCTTAATGTATTTATCTTTGATATTATAAATAACAAGTCTGAGAATATTTTCATGATCCACATCAGCACTAAGGCGCAAGAAAATGCCTGTTTGAAGCATCTGCCCGAACAGCATGAAAGCTTGTTGCTAAAGTGTTCCTTCTTGCTCTAAATTAGTTGACATTTTGGCCTGCTTAACTACTTAATTATCTTGATATCTTAAAAACTGCTGCTTTATTTTTATACCAGCAAACATACCCTTAAATACCACCCTCCCCATGCTCACAGCTTCCTTTAGATCTGTCGTTCAGTCGTTTCCGATGTGTGTGGGTCTTGCAGTACACGCAGTACAAGCTGCTACTGAGATACTGAATACCAAACACTATGCCTGTGGGTTTGTGTTTGGTAGGGGAGTGAAGGACATCTCCCTAAACAGTGTATACAGAGACTTCATGGTGTGCTCTCCAGCAGTTCCAGCTGCAGGCACCCTCCTGCCTGGAAAAGCACCTGATGGACCCCATGCCCCTCCCATCTCTGCTGAGGGAAGTCGTGCTCCCCAGCCAGCTCCAGAGCAGTCCCCCTGCTACACTTTGCAAACTACGTGGTAGGTGTTTTGCAGCCCCTGGCCCTAAGAGGATTTTGGTAGAAGCAGGAAGGCTGGCCAGCTCCACGGAGGAGTCTTTTCTTCTTTAGAGGTGAAGTCGAGATGAGAGCCCAGTCACATTGATAGCAGGGACAAAATTCCCCTTTAGTGTCACCAGGTCACTTTCTCTGTATTTTTAACTGTTAAATTGAGTTATCTCAAAGTATATAGGCATTGCCCGTAGTCAGCAAGAGAGCAAAAATGGCCTGTCCAAGGGACCTGTGTTCAAACTGGCTCAGATTTCTTATTTGAACTCCCCCACCACCAGCACATTCCAGTGTCAAGCACACAGTGCAGGCAGGCAAGGTACAATTGTCATACGGCCAGTACATCTAATAAACTGTGCAACATGTTGTTTTGCATCACAAGGTTTTGGCTATTCCTCTTCATTTTATTTCATCGCCCTGAGGACTCCTGACACTTCCAAAGTCCTCAGCAGGTTTTAAAAAGAAGCAGGTTGTGTCCTGGAGAAATGTCACACATGAGAGGAAGAATGACAAGTTGTAATTGAATTTTATTGTGAGCCAGGAACTGGAGGGGAATGCTCCCCGACCAGACTCACAGCCTGGCCCTGAGGGGAGGCAGAGCAAAACCCACACTCCCCAGCTGGCTGCTGCCTGCCTGTCTGCAGCAGGGAAGACCTGCTCAGGGCAGGGGAAGGTTCCCCAGGCCCAGGGGGGTCCCCCAAAGGTTTGCTAGTTGCTGCCAGGGAGCTGCCTCTAAAACAATAACTTGAAACAGAGCTGCCTTTCCAAATTGTCCCCTTGAGTTTTGACCACTGCATCAGTCAAAGGAGAGGACATGGAGGGAGAGCAGTGTGTGTGCATGTATGGATGGCCTTTGACTAAGTTCCCACAATGAGCTGGCCACCAGACTTCTTAATAATGATGAGTTCTACACAGAGTAAGACAACATGGATTTGTTCCCATGAATTTTACCTTCCTATAAAAGGTATATGTCAAGACAGTAATTACCAAGCCCTAAACATTCACTCCTCAAAGAGGAGAACCTGGTTGCAAGGAAGCACACAGCTATGCATCTCAGAAGGGTGAAGGTCTCTTTCAGAGTCCAGTATTTGTGTACCTAAAATGTCTTTTTCACATTTCCCCAAATCTGAGAAATCGGACCTGACTTCTCTCCTTGACATATTCTCTCAATTCTCTCAGGTGGTTTCTCACTCAGCCTCATCATTTTTTCTGCACTTTTTTTTTGTTAGAACGCTCTCTTCCTATAGCAAGGAGAACCTTGCAGTGCAATACATCAGTCTGTCTATGAGTGCAGGCTCAAAAAAACAAAAAAGAACTGAGTTGCTTGCATTATTTTTTTTTTTAGCACACAACATAATACAGCTAACTCAGATCATCAGAATAGTTTACAAGAAGTAGTATCTTAGTCTAGCATGTTCCATATGCCCTTGAAGCACCCAGCATAACTGGGTTTTAGCTGATGGTCACCAGTCTTTTATGTTCAGCAGTATCACTGTTTTAAAAGGCTGCATGGTCCTCTGTGAAGTAAAAAATTGATGCTTCTTATCTGTGACTCTGGTACAGCCAATAATAGGTGTTTACTTAAAACACTTTTTCTGTAGCTGTATCTTGCAAATAGCTGTTAACTGATGAGGCTGTTAGATTCAACCTATTTGTTCAGTAATCAGAAATAGGCTGGTAAATACACTCCATGTCACTCTGTTCACAATATGCCTTTTCAGGAAAATTTTACATTCTGCTGTAACCTACCTATACTTATATATATTACTTAGAGAAGGGAGACTACGTGGTGTCTTTTGTTCTTTACTTAGATAATATTAGGCTGCTCACAATGTGACCATAATGTTTAATCGAATAAGTAAACTCACTTCAAATGATTTCAATTTACCTATAAATAAGGGCCATTAAACAAGTATGAGTGTAACAGCCATGGTTTTGTTCTCTCAGTAGGTGACAAAATAAACAGTTTGAGCTACTATTCATATCAACAGCTGCTCCTGAGTCAAACAGCCAAGAATATTATTCATCACACCAACATCCTCCAGATATGTGTGGGCGACGGGGGGATCTGGAGGCTGCTCCAGCTGTGGACTAAAAGCCTGTCTTCTCAAAATTTGTCTTACCCAGAACTGTTATGATGGTGAAGAGGTTCAGCTGCCTTTTGAGATGGTCTTTAAAAGGAAAGTATACCACTCAACAAGAAGAAAACAAATGAACATCAAGAGCAGAATTCTAACCACCATAAAGGAAGAAAGGTAGGAGAACAGGTTTTTAAAGTGTGTTTCATCATAATTCCATTTTATTAAATTTTAACCTTTGTAATTTTACACAGAAGGGAAACATTGTGCTTTTTTTTTGAAAATTTCTTCAGAGGTCAACTCATTTGAACAGTTTGTCACTGTTTTGCATTTCATGCCAAGCCACTTAAGTGATCTCAGTTTCCCAATCCTTTGGTTGGAGTTTTGTCTTTCTGTTGAAAAAAAAATAAATTTCCCCCTGAGAATATTACTTTTTTAAAAGAAAAACAGTTTTTAGGGGAGATCATATTCCTTTGGGCGAAATAGTTTTTCAATCAGAGAACAACAGAGAAGTTACTAAGATTTTTAATCTTAAAGAAAACTAGAGATAATATGTTAATTCTTTTTATTTGGCTTCAAAGACTGTTTTACCAGATTTGTTTAACTGATATACCGTATAGAACAAATGAAGTTCAAAATCTGTGTAACACATTTATAACCTTAATGGGCTTAAAATTTTTATAATGATGCCCAGTATATACAGATAAGCTGGTGTTTAATTCTTTCTACTATGAAAATTGAAAATTTGTGTTAGTAAGTATCCACCTGGCTGTGTTTTCTTTGCCTTGATGTAAATGATGAAATAAGTAATGACAGGCAGGAAAAGAAACATGAAGTGAAGGAAAAGGTATATGAAGTGATAGTTACAGTGAGGTGAAAAAGAGCTGAGATTATGTTAAACATTAGTAGGTGGAAAAAAGGGGAAGCAAAACACCCCAATATAAATAAATAAATAACCAACCAACCAACTGACCAAACAAACAAATAAATATTTTCAGATTTCACACTTCCTGTATGTTTGGATGCACCTTGTCCCTGGCACTCAGGTGTCACTGCCTGGCCCTACTTGAAAAATCCCTCTCTATAACACAGGGTAGCTGTCAGGGCCACAGTTTGTCATCTATATCCACTTAGCTTCCAGTGACATGGTGTGCTTGTAATAACATTTGTTTCAATATGGGAACATTTTTTTGGTATTTTGTTTTGTTCTGTCTAAAATAACCAGAGGCAGAAAAGTCCCAAAGCATATGAGTTAAATTAGTCCTGGCTGAAGTACCATGTCAGTATTTTTCTGACTTAAATGGCCATTATATACTATAATGATAGTACTACTGAATAGCATATGGTACTGACCTTTATTTTTCATAATAACACTATCTTTCTGTTAATTAAAAACAGATCCTTCAACAATGAATATTGCTTGCCAAGTGCTTAAGTACTTTCATTAAATGCTTTCATAGAGTTGCAAAAGGGACATGCTACCGCATACATAAGAGGATAGCAATATATGTGTCCTCAGATACAAATTAAACCTGTGTTCAGAAAATGTTTCTTTCCATGTTGGTGCTTTGGCTAAAAACAATATTAACGTAATAAATACTCATAACAGTGCTAAACTACTAGCACTGAAAAGAATACAGCCCAGCAGAAAAGATATTTGCTCATAGAGCAGATAATGCTTCAGGTTAGTCAGGTTCTTCCATTATATTTTAGCAGCAAAAGGGCAGAAAAGTTCTCTTCTCCTCTTAGATCTTTTACTTACATCTCTATTTACAGGTAGATCCTGCAAGAATTTTTCAGTAAAACTTGATCTGTTTGAGTCAGTGTCATTTGCCTAAAAAACAAGGCTTGTGGACACTTTTTGGTTTCAGCAGGCTGCACAGTGTTCATCCTTCATAAATAATGAAATGTGAATTTCCTACACATCTGATTAAATGAAGGTTTTTAAAATTGCCATTTTTTTTCCATCCCTGCAGCTGTCCCCATATAGAAGAGGAAAAAACAGTTGTAAATTTACCTCAGCATTAGGAAAAACAGTACTTGTTCTGCATACCTGTGTGGATTTGAGACTCCAGTAAGGATGCAACCGTGCTGTGAATCCATAAATGGCTCTTGCATAAGGAGCAGCTGGTCAAACAGTACCCGTGTTTCCATGTATATCTTCATGGTTTGCGTTATTCTAGCCACAGTGGTTGGAAATTTGACAGTTATCATCTCAATATCACATTTCAAGCAGCTCCATACACCTACTAATTTCCTGATACTTTCAATGGCTACAGTGGACTTCCTGCTGGGATTCTTCATCATGCCTTGCAGTATGGTTCGCTCTGTTGAGCACTGCTGGTATTTCGGGGAGCTCTTCTGCAAGATCCACACGAGCATGGACATTATGCTGAGCACAGCTTCTATTTTCCACCTTTCCTTCATATCCATCGACCGTTACTATGCTGTGTGTGATCCTTTAAGATACAAATCCAAGATAAATACTTTTGTTATCGTGGTCATGGTGTTCATAAGCTGGACAGTCCCTGCTGCTTTTGCTTTTGGGATGATCTTTCTAGACCTGAACTTGAGAGGGGCAGAAGAGTTTTATAATCATGTCCATTGTGCAGGAGGATGTTTTCTCATTTTTAGCGAAACTTCAGGTATTGTCGCCTCCGTAGTGTCTTTTTACATCCCTGGATTTGTTATGCTGTACATCTATAGGAAAATATACTCTGTAGCCAAGAAGCAGGCAAAATCCATTGATGCCATTTGCAGAAAAAAGATGCAATTTGAAATGAAGAATCACATTTCATTCTGCAAAGAAGGGAAAGCTGCTAAGACATTAGGCATAATAATGGGAGTGTTTCTCATCTGCTGGACTCCATTCTTCTTCTTTACAGCTACTAATCCATTTATGAATTATGTGATACCTCCCATTCTCATCGATGCTCTGGTTTGGTTTGGCTATTTAAATTCTACACTTAACCCAATTGTTTATGCATTTTTTTACATGTGGTTTCGCAGGGCATTAAAAATTATTCTCTTTGGAAAAATTTTTCAAGAGGACTCTTCTAGGTCTCATTTGTTTTTAGATTAACATGCTTTAAATGGTTGGATTCGTGGCTTAAAACTTTTGCCTGGAGGCTGAACTCCTGGATTCAAGAGCTGAAAATGAAGGAAATACCTATTTGTTTACCCATTTACCAAATCCAGTTCAAGCAGATAAGCAATCGTGATTTACATCTTCTTTCATTCCAGACTGGGATTTGTATGTGATGTTTTGATTAGATCTATTTATTTCAATGCACAGAAGAGCAAGACTTATACTTTAAAAACCTTAAAATAGTTTATATACCTGATCTTAATAATTAAAAAACTATTCTGATACAGTAGATTAATTCCTCGAACAAGGTGTATTTATACTACAATAGTTATGTTCATTTGTTGTCCTCTAGAAAGAGCGGAAAAACCTTTCTCTTTGAATTTCTTTACATCTTTGAGTAATTACCCAAAGCTCTTGAAGTTTTGTCCTTCCCCTTCAATATTTGCACAGAGTACAAAACAGATGAATAACCAGCCATACCATCACACTCCACAGAGGGAAGATGAGACAGAGAAAAGTTGTGCTGCTCTATCTGTTTTCATTTCAACTAGTGCTTGTCACTTATGAGTTTGTCACTTAAAGGCTTTGTTCCTTAATGAGACCAAAGGCATGTTTAACAAGATCAAAGACAAGGAAAAATAGGATGTATGAAATGAAAAGCAATTACGAAAAAGCTGCATTGTACCTGAGAATGCAGGTTCTAACATCTAATGAATGTTTAGATGTAAAATATTTGCCAATTTGCATCTTAGGGAACTTTTCTCTAGCTTGGAGATACTGTTATTTTGTCTGATGGCAATGCTATGACAGCTTTGAGGAAAGCATACAGAGAACTGTGAAGAAATCTTGTGGCTGAACTCAGCTGGATAATGAAGGATCAGTACTGACAACGGACAGGAAAGGATTAGTATCTGAGAAGCTACCATGGAGAGAAATTGATGACTGTAGTGAAGTAAGAACTACACTCAGCAGTATGCCCTCCATTTATATTCCTTTTATAAGTGCACGTCATATGTGTATCTTGTCTTTCTTTTCTGGAATTTGTAGAGCACTGAAGCACAGAAGTTGAATGATGATACATTTCAGCAGAGCAAAATTTCAGAATCTGATGTTGTCTCTCTTACTGTTTCATTGCCAACTTGTAAAGTTTGCACTCTCCAAAATGACATAAAAAGGAACAATGAAATATACCCCACATCCTCACTTGTGCTGTGGATCCTTGCTAATGGCAATATGACTAATACTTTATGTCAGAGAAATAAAGTAAGATGAAATTAAAAAAATCTATCTTTCTAATAAATAATGGGTAATTCTCTTCTTCCTTCATCTCCAGTGAGTCTGGCTTGATGCAGTTAATTTTCTCATGCTCAGTGTTACCTTCTGAAATAAAATGCATCATCACTTGGACACCTTCATCTCAGTTAAAATAACAGTTTCAGAAGCGCTGCCAGGTGATACCTCCTTTCTTCTGGTGGTATTATAGATTGAAGAAAAGATAGTCTATGACAAATTTTGCCCTTCTGAGACTTTTTACTGTATATTTAGGAAGTTCAGCACATACTGACATCGTCCCTTCAGGAAGTCAGTGAAGTTGTTTTTTTCCCTTTGTCCATTGACTATCTCCCTGAAAATCTGGAAACATTACTGTGTTTCCAGAGAATTCCAGCTCTATCAGAGTTCACAACTGGTCACTTTATCACTTATTCTGGCACCTCTCTGGCATTGTTTTTTGGTTGTAGAAGTTTTTGAATGAATGTGATCCCACCTTTCATTAATCAGAGCCAAGTCACAGAGGGGATCTGCCTGTTACCAAGATTGCAATTTTGCAGGACAATAACAAAACAATTGGAAAAACATCAGTAGATTGAGCTGCTTCCCATGTTCCTTTTAAGTGGGTTAAATTGCTGTGGAGCAGAACATCTCTTTCTGCTCCTATTTCTAAATTTGCTGTTAGTCCAAAACAAATTATCAGGAAAAGACATGGAAGATATGGATCTAGTTCTTCCCAGATAAAGGAAAAGGATTTTTTGCCCCTTGAAACTATTCACTAGTGTATTCATTTATAACTACTCCACATGGACCACAGTGCAGTACAGGAGATAAGCATCAGCCTGCCTCCACACCCCTTTCATTAGTGGAATTATAATGATAGAAAACAAGTGTATATGTAGCAAAAGGAAAGAATATTGCTTATCATTCCAATTTTACAACTGATTTCCATCAGATGTGTTTATTGTATGTATTTTATAATTCACAGCAGGTGAATTTATCATTACAAATAACTTGGAAAGTCGGGATTTAGCAACTGATTTGTGTCTCTTAAGATGATCATTTAGGTGAGTAGCTCATTAACTGAAATCTTGAAGAAAGTTAAGGTATACCAGTTTGCATAACATTTCTCCTGTAGAAAAAAAAAATCAATATTCTAAGATTAGGGAGACATGTAAATGCTATTTAATATTTTCAGACTGAAGTGACTTGAGAGATTTCTTTGTCTATGCATGTTTTTCTTCTACTAATTTAAATTTGCTAATATTATGATTTACATAAAATACAACAATGATATTTTACAAAATGCTCCAGACACAAAATAAGATTTATATTTTCATTTGGATGTGGCACTTAGTGCCATGGTCTAGTAACCACGGAGGTAGTGGATCAAGGGTTGGACTTCATGGTCTCAGAGGTCTTTTCCAACCTGGTTAATTCTGTGATTCCATGATAATTTAGTTAATTAAAGGTAATTAAGTTTACATTCAACTGCTTTGTTTTAAATATTACTTGCAATTAATTTTATAATGGTTTCCAGTTACTAGATTTCATGTACCATTTCAGAAGAATAATTGGTTGTAGCTAGTCCCTATTTAAGGCAAGAGAAAATTCACCTCTGAATTACTGCATTTCATGTAGTAATTGAGTTCATGGGCTTGACTTACTTTATCCTGTATTCTCATGTTAGGATTTGGAACCTTTTGGAAACTTGTGAGAATTAAATCTGCCGATGGAACTGCATCTCTAAAAGAAAAGTCTAATAAAGGATTGATTATGCTTTCTCCAAATGTCTTGAGGGATTTGACTGGTTGCTCTGAGTTTGGAAACAGATCTTGTCTGGAGAGCTTTAGGTCAGCAGGAGTACAAGAGGTACTGTATCTATTCATAACAGCAGTCTTCATTCTCACCATCTTAGGGAATCTGGCCATAATCATTTCCATCTCGTATTTCAAGCAGCTTCATTCTCCAACCAATTTCCTCATCTTATCCGTGGCTGGCCCAGATTTCCTCCTGGGCTTTGCCATTATGCCCTACAGCATGGTGAGGTCTGTAGAGAAATGCTGGTTTTTTGGGATTATATTCTGCAAAGTTCATTACAGTTTTGACTTGATGCTCTGTTTAGTTTCCATTTTCCATCTTTGTTCCATTGCCGTGGATCGGTTTTATGCAATCTGCTACCCTCTGCATTACACCAGCACCATGACTGTTACAGCCATAAAACAAATCGTAGCAGTCTGCTGGTCAGTGCCTGCTGCTTTTGCTTTTGGTGTGGTTTTCTCAGAAGTTTATGTTTCTGGAATTGAGGGCTATGAAAAGCTAGTTAAATGCTTGAGCTTATGCCCTATTGTGTTCAACGAACTGTGGGTTTTTTTTTATTTACAGTTGGTTTCTTGGCTCCTGCTTGCATTATGATAGGAGTTTATGTTAAAATTTTTACAGTCTCCCAAAGGCACACATGGGAGTTGAGCCAGGCACACAGGCACTCAAAAATTGATAAGAAACACGAGTTTTCTAAGAATAAAGATAAGAAAGCTGCTACGACTTTGAGTATTGTTATACTGGGTTTCTTTATATGTTGGTTTCCTTGTTTTTTTGCAACCTTAATTGATGCATTTTAAATTTCTCTGTTCCTTTATCTCTGTTTGATTCTGTAAATTGGTTTGGGTATTTAAATTCTTTCTGAAATCCATTAATATATGGATTTTTCTATCCATGGTTTTGGAAAACATTTAAATATATCTTAAAGGGCAAAATATTTAACAAACATTTTCGTACAATAAAACTTTTACCTGAAGATCAGTCACAGTAACAGACTCTATTAGCGACAGTAGCTCTAGAAATGGAAAAAACAGTGGCTTACTGGATATTCATGGTTCAGTAAAACCCTGAAATGTATAATATGCCTCATTCAGAGCTGTCTTCTAAGCCAGTGATTTTTATTTTAAAAAGTGCTATATTTTTACTCTTTAATTGTTTGCAGTTCAGGAACTTGCAGGTATATCTGCAATGACTGCTCGTGATCAGAATAGTTACATTCACTTTTTTTTCCTTTTAATTTTTTCTGCCACAGCCTAAGCAAGTGAGAAAGGATTTCCTACCCTCTTGTGGAGTCCACAGGCAAAAGCAGCTTTAACAAAAAAGTCAACAATGTCTTATATTAAGACAGAGGTAAAAAAAAAAAAGTTTGAGTTGTAGAAACATCAGCTGAAAACTTTGAAAATGGATTTTTTTAATTTTGCAAGTTCTCTGCTGATTTTTATTGCATCAATGAAGCATTATAGAGTACACTGACATAGAAAAGGATGTGCAGTTTCTCAAAAGACAGCCATGAATCTTTTTATCTATATGTAAACAAAGAACCTTCCAGTTTTTCTTGTAAGAAAGGACTGTTTTCACTTTCATTTTTAGTTCCACATTTCCACCAAAATGCAGAACGGAGAAAAAAGAACACTCAAAGCAACTTTGGATTTTAATAAATAAAGGATACTTAAACACACACACAAAAAATCAATCTGGTAGTGCTTTGGGGTGCAGACTAGAGGCAGAGGAAGGGAGCCTTCTGAGGCAAGAAGGGATATAAAAACAGGCAACAATTTTTTTTCACTCTGATTTGGCACAGCCTTCTCTTGCTCCATGCCAGCAAGCAGAGGCTGTCACTGCAGCAGGCTGCAGATGATGCCAGCTGGGAGGGAGGCTGCTGACCTCAGCCACCAGCTCCCCCAAGAATTGTCCCCCACCCTGTGCTTGGGATCCTGCCCTCAGACACTTTAATTTCAGAGCCTGTGCTGTGACTGAAGTGCACTGACACTTCAAGTGCCTGACATCAGCAGAGCAAAGAGCCAGATTTTGTTCCTTCATCCTTCAGATCAGATGTTGAGTGACAGAAGTGACTGTCACAGCACTTGTGACTGTCACATTTGTCTCTAGACCTGATGTAACACTGTAATCATGATGGTTTAAAAGCACTTCTGAAGACCTAAAGATATGTTTTAAATAAATTAGAAGAGGCAATGTTTGACTCAAAGGAAGTATTATATACTAAAAGACGTTCTTTTCCCAAGAAAATTCTCCCCAACAGATCTTGTTCTTCAATGTTTAAGTAATTTTGTTTTGTCTGATTTTCTTCCCCAGGACTGACTCCGTTGAAATACTTTGGTGAATACCTTAAGTTGCCAAATCATGATTTCATCCACCCTCTGGAGATCACATCTGGTGTAGTATTGGCTTGACTTTGTTAAGATTTCAGTGCCTACAAATGCATGGGTTTTGCCCCTGTGCTATGTGCATGGGTAGAACTATTCTCTCCAAAATGGGGGGAAATATGTCTGTGAGTGGCAGCATCTCCAGATATCCAGATATCTACTCTCTCACCAAGTTTCTGATTTACTTCATGGTCAAAACTGACTTTTCCTCAGTGTTATGCTATGGCCCACGTCACAGCCAGCTCCATTAAATCATGCTGATACCTTGGGGTTCTCTCCTTCAAACTCTACACATCTTGTGGTGCAGTTGTGTGTAGCACTTCACCTTCCTGTTGGATTTCTCTCTCAATTGTAATTATACCATCTTTGATTGATTGCATTAGATCACCACAATTACCATCTCTGGGAAAGAAGTAATTTTCTTAGAGCTCAGCAGTTTTATTCTTGTTCACATTTAATATGGTTTTCTCAATGTTAAATACTGACTGGTTTGTTTAATTTTTATTTGCTTTTTTTGTTGTTGGTGGTGGTTCTTTGGTTGGTCTTGTTGGTGTTCTTGCCTGCCTTTCTCCAATGACTGATATTTTTACTAGCTTCTCAGCACCTAAGGACTTGTGCAATGCCACCTTCCGGACAGATTATTTCAGCTCTGCCTGCAGACCTATAATTTGTGCTTTGTTTTATCATTTGATTCCAGAAAACCTTTGAAAATGGTCATTGCAGGTGCAATATTCAGACTGCTATTTTCAGTGTACTCTACTGCCTTCCTGTAAAAATTTGGTTACATAGTCATATTCATTATACATTAATTAGCAACTCCTGGAATTACTTTCAGAAAACTTTGTAAATACTTTTATAGGTTCTTTTATGTTTTCAGTATTTGAGTATAGTGTCACATACAGTAACAGGTAACCGATGAGTATACTTACATACAGCAAGATATTACAATATCCCAAGAAATGTGCTGTATTCTAGGAAATTACAACTGACAGCACATACAGGATACATTATCCAGATTCTCTGCTGTGTGTACAGAGTCACAAGCTAAATGGCCACAACACTGAAGAACCATTGTGTCCAAAAGCCAGTAGGAAAACTCACGTTTAAGTTGCATGATGTAATTATTTAGATATCATTGTCTGAATATTAGCATTCTAGTCACCCCAATCTATTAATCAAACTTTCAAAAGGAACCAGGAGATCAGAATGGAACCGAGAACTTTTTCCAGCTGAAAATACTCCATCACCTTTATCTACTTACCGGGCTCCAGACATGGCATTGGGAAACCAACTTCAGCCTGCTGCTTTAAAAGTAATGTTTCATTCTTTAGCTGAAAAATACTTTAAATGTGGGTTGATTTGGGGTATGATGGTGTGGTCTCTGAACAATTGCCCATCTCTCTATGTGCTGCACTGCACTGCTTATGAAAATTAGTCATCATCTAGCGAGGTGGGTATACTTCCTCAGAGGAATTAAAGGTAGATTTTTAAAAAAGGTAGTAATTCAAATATAAATAAAAAACCCATCATGTTTGTCAAAGGTTGCTTGGGCAAAACTTCAGTTCTGTCTTCCCAGTGGTCACTGCACAGTCAAGAAAGTGGTTACTTTCCCACAGTCAGGGCACAAAAGTGATAGTTGGGTGCTGCCAGGCAGCTCCTCTAGTGTGTGAGTACTGAAGGAAGGAGATCCTATTTGGTGATGCAGGACATTTCAGTGCATCTGACTTTTCTAATATTATGGGCTGATAACTTTTTATAATAGTGATATTTTTATAATAGTGATAGCGATTTTTATTTCTCCTTGTGACAATTTAGCAGAAATCAATCTCTCATTCAAGTAACACTACCAGCAGTGCAACATCACTTGTTTTGGTTAGATTATTCCCAGCTGACTTGTGTTTTCCTCACTGTAAACAACAGCAAAGTGGATTGGGATCTCTGGGGAAGGACTGTATTGGTTGTCACTGCAGAACTCTTTTGCAGTCTTGGGATTACTTTTAACACCTATTATTAATTAATTCTTCTGCAGGGAACTATTGAACCAGAGGAGGTCACATTCAACTATTCAACTTTTTTTTCTGTGTGTATTTTGATGTTTTCTGTCACATCTTTTGCAATTCCTCTGCTTCATCACTAAACACCAAGGTCACTACAAACTGCACTTTGCGGTCAAAGTGATTTACCAGAAAAAATTTGGACAGAAAAAAGTGATGAGAGGGAATATTCTGAAGACGAGGAACTACTGGGATTTTTCACTTTATTATGAGATTAATAATTGCAAATTTGTCATAAATGAAAAAAATGAAACAATAAAAGGATAACAAGATCGATAAATTGAAAGAAAAACATTTCAGTTTGTATTAAGACAGTCCTAGATTGAAATAAATATGAGTTGTTAATTTCAAAGATAACAGACAAAATATATGAATTTATTCTTTTAATCAGTTTTCTGAACTAAATTATCCTCTTTTAATTGTTCTTTAATCCTTCATCTGAGTAATTTGGACAAAGATGCTATAGATGGGGATGCCAGTGAGCTCTTTTCTCTCCATATTCACTTCCACTTTTAACATGATTTAAGTTGCCATAGTTAACTTGCAGAGGTATTGCTTCTAAAACTGATCATATAGGTGTGTCCTATATGAGTATTTGAATGGACAGAACACAGCCCAATGTAATTAAAAGCAGGGAAACATAAAAGCAAAAGTTACATAAGAGCAGGATGCAGCAGGTGGAAGAATTTCTTGGGAGTGCTTTGGACTAGAATTTTCCATAGTTACAAAGCTTAGGGTCAAATGCTGCTTTTTGTGCAAGAAATATGAATTAAAAATACATACCACACCCTATGGAGACCCCCTGTCTCAGAAGTGGGGTTTGCTACACTTAGCAGAATTTTAAACAGAACTGAGTGAGTATTTATAAACATTCCCACCAGTCTGCAGTAAGGATAAAACACTCAGATACAATACACCAACTTCTTCAGAGATGATCACTTCTCACTACTATGAGAGAGGGCAAAAGCCTGCACTATAGGCTATATGGCTGTAATACACGTGATGGAAGATTTGGGATTTGGGTGTGCTAGCTCTGTATAGGTCATTTTAGTAAGCCCACAGCCTTCTCATACTATTATATTCTATTTAAAGATCCTAGACTGACTCTTTTGGAAGCTGTGAGGAAAAAATGCACAGCAAAGGGGCACTGATGATGGCCCTCTTAGGAAATCAATAATCCCTTGAAACCACCTTGTTCTATTTTAAGGAACTCAGACTCAGAGGTTACTTAGAGGTATTTAGATCTTAGAAGTTATGTGCAGGACTTTCAATAAAAAAAGCCATTGGCTATGCATGACTTCATTGTAGATTGAACCATATCAGGTAGCACGTTTTTTCTGTTTTTCTGTATGTTTTCCTGTGGATTACTGGGCTGCATAGTACATTCAATGAAACTTCAGCTTGAGACTATCCACCAGTTTTGTCTGTAGAAGGGAGGGTAAAGAGAAGGAACATCATGAATACGATGAGCATTTTTAATTTTGTGATTGCATTCTTAACTTTATAAGTTAATACATGTTAAAAAGTTCGTCTTGTTCCAAAGCATATGGATGTAAATTGTCCTTATCTGAGCCTTCTCTTAATCATAAACTGATCTCTTTTTTTTGTGACCAGAAGAGAGGAGACAAAATACAAAATGAATCCAACAAGTAATGTGTGCAGAGCTGGGAGCTGAGGTTGTCAGGGGCAGGGAGTGGGGCAGTGGGACCTGGGCAGGCTGGCATCAGCAAGTCAGGGTGATAAACAACATGAGTAGGACTATTGGGTCTCAGCTACACAAAGGGGCATCCAAGAACGACAGGAAAGCAGCAAAGACTATTGGGGT